CCCCCCTGCTGCAACACCCCACCAAGCCATTTGATGCAGGAGGGTTTCATTGCTTCCCCAGCTCAGTTTTGTCTTGCCTGGTTGTGCTCAGGTTTCCTCGCCCATCCCTGAGAAGCACCAGGACCTTCCTGGCTTGAATCCCAAGCCCTCCAGCAGCATCATCTGTCTGCTGGTCTTGGGAGAGAAAGGATGAGATCTTAAGCAAGTCACTTGGTTTCTCTGAACCTCATTTGTCTGGAGAGAGATGTCAGTGTAGAGTTTTGTGTCCCTGAGGGGCTTCAGTGTGTCCAGGACTGAGATGCTCAGTTAGGATGGTTAAAAGGGCCCCATGAAGAAATGGAGAGGGAGAAACCCCCTGGACTGCTTTGCTACCTCTTCACTTCCCTGCTCAGTTTAAAAAGCTTTTTTAGTGATAGATTTAGCATGCACAGTTTTATTTATTATTTTAATATTTAGCTCTTGGTCATGCCAGGGGATTTATTACCTCAAATCTATGCTTTTTTGTAATGCTGGTGGGTCAAACCTCAGCCTGCATTGTGGTTATTTGGCGGCATCATTGTTATTATTGTGATTTGTCCATGTTACAGTAGAAATAGAATTGAGACACAGGCATCATTTTCCTGCTGGTACACTCAGATCATAACAATTTGATCCTGGAGGGCTCATGATCTAAGAGGACAAGCTGAAAGAGAGGAAATTCTCCATCTCATAGATGGGGAAACTGAGGCAGAGAGTGAGCTGGTCCAGCTGTGGGACCCACTGAAGAACAGCTGCTAAAGACTGGGGTGGGAGCCCAGGGGATCTTCCTGGAAACAGGAAACTCTCAAAAATCCAATGCAGATAACAACATTCCCAGTCCAGCAGACCCGTTTCCATGCAGGCCAGGAAGCTGTTTGTCAGCTCTGCTGGATGTGTGGGCACCTGCACAGGTCTGTGGGCACACAGTGGTGCCTGGAGGTGGATATAAAAGGTGGGAGAGGCAGCAGGAGCATCCAGGAGGGAACAGGAGGAAGAAGAGTCTGACCCCCAGCATCCCGTGGCCGTGCTCACCAGGTAAGTGCTTGGGCTCTGAGCTGGGTGGGATGGGGGCTCAGACACTGATGTTCCCAGCACCTGGGGGCTGCAGCAGAGGGCTCTGGCAAGCAAGAGGAAACAAAATCAATGCTTAGACAAGGGGAAAGGTCCTTTCTGCTCGTCCCCCATCGCAGAGCATCGATCCCACCAGCTCCTGCCCCCCTGCTTGTGGTGACCACCCAGCAGGCACCCCCGGGAGCTGGGGGTGCCCTCTGCTCTTGGGGAGCTGCTGGGAGCACCAGGTGAGTCACAGACACTTCTGCTGGCAGGATTTGGTTTTTTTGGTTATTTTTTGGAAGACAGCTGGGTAGATAAACATGCCGTCTTCTCACACCAGGTAGATGTTCACCCTTCCTGCCCCTAAATTAGCATTTCATCCCGTTTCAGGCAGAGCAGGACAACACCACCCCCAGCCCCTGCAACCACAGCACTTGGTTGTACTGGTGCTGAGCTTGGGATCCTCCAGCTTTGTGCTTTCTCTTTGTAGCTGGGAAGCAAATTCACTAACAACAAAGTACATTTCTGCTTGGAGAGGCACTGAGCTGGGTCTGAAAGTCACGTCCTGCTTACAAAATAAGGAAGAGACATTCAGAAAAGGCATTTTTTGACTGGAGTAACATGGGGATGGGGTTGTTTCTTTGAGGGAAGAGGGAATAAATAAATTCACAAAGGGATAGTAAGTGAGAGATGAAGAGAGGTGACTGGGTTTATTTCTTTGTATATGGCAACGTTTTGGTGCTGTGATAAAATAAATGAAAAGGTACAAAAGGCTGATGCCACTGAGATAACACCACGTTACCAGACATGGGCACCTCAACACGCTGTGTTGCAAGGGGAGAGCCTGAGAAATCCTCTTGATCACTGCAGCAAACGTTGCATCTTGTTGGATCACCCAGGGAGATGTCCCTGCAGAGCTGAGAGCTTCAATGACCCAGGGTGGGTGGGCAGGGGGAGGTGGCAGCAGGGGGGAGGAGAGGGGCTCAGCCCCCCCAGCCTGGCACACAGCAGTGCTGTGCCCAACGAGTGCTATGGAAAGAGAATATTTATTCACTTCCAGTGGCTTTCAGTTCAATACTACCTGATATTTATGGGAAATCTAATTTAGGGGTCAATTCTTTCTTTTCAACAATGCCCAGACCAAGAGGTTTCAGAAAGTAATTAAGGCTCAGGCTCCAATCAGGTGGAGTAGTTAAGCTGTGGGACCAGACTTCATTAAATTAATCCAGAGAGAATATTTTAATCTTTAAAGAGAACATTTAATGTTTACGTAAGTCCTCTTCTGACGTGAAGCTGCTGTTAAATCACTTCAGAAGGTAGTTTTTAAAGCCCTTTATACTGGGCTCTTCTGGAGCCAGGCTGGCAAATGCCCTTCCCAGCCCTCTTGGACCCAGTGAGGCTTATTAAAAGATTCAGTCCATCAAGGCAGGTTTTCAGGGGTGAGGAATATGAACACAAAATTTAACAAAGAGCTGTCTCAAGGTTTGCCTCTGTTAAAGCATCACTCTGTCTCCCTTGCTGTCAGTGGGATTGATGGAGGTGCTTTGCTCTGGATGTGTGTAGGTCTTTAAACCAGTACAGCTGGAGGGCTAGAGCTTGCAGAACAGAGGGAGTCTTTAACAGTACTGAAGGGCTGGGCTGGAAGTCTCTGGAGATATTTCTCAAGAACAAATCTGTTTACAGAAAAAGGTTTGAGAGGAGAATTGTCAGTCAAGACACTTCTATTCTCAGCTCAGGAGCAACTGGAAGAGTAAATATACCTCTAGTTTGCTGGTGGATAAATTAGATTGCAGCTGATTGAAAGCCAATGGAATTTCTTGTCAAATGGCCTTCTCCACTGTCACCCTGGTGTCTTCTTTCCTGTGTTGTTCAGACTCTCATGATGGTTTCAAAGAAGGTCGTGGCCAGTTTGCTGTTGGTGTACATGGTGTCTATGCTGGCTGAACAGACCGAAGGCTTCGTGCCCTTTTTCACCCAGAGTGACTTCCAGAAAATGCAGGTAACCCCTGGGGCTGGAGCCCTAAATAAACCAGGGAAGGTGTTTCTTCCTCCCTTATCCCCCAAGCTCTGCCAGTGCACACTGTGCCACTGTTGTTCCCATCATCTGCCCCTTCTGTTCCAACAGGAGATGTTATGATAATTGGCAGGTCCTTGCTCATCCCAAAGTTCAGGGCTACGTGGATGGCAGAGACAACTTTTTAAGATGTGAGACTAGAAAGGAAGACTCTGAACTCCTTTACATAACCCACACAGGTCTTCTAGTTCTCATCATCTGCAGCTACTGGGTCTTTTTTTCTTTCCTCCATGCTAGTGGCTGTAATTTTTATAGAGAAGCTGCAGCCTCCCATCACCATACTGATGGGTCTTTTTGTTGTAACAAATAATTAACCATCCTCCAGATGGTTGTCACCTCTGGGATGTGCAGAGAGGAGAATGTTTTTCTCTTTTGATGTGAAACTAATCCTGTTGAAAGGTGTCAGGCAGCCTGAGAGATTGCATCTTCTTGAACACAGCCAAAGTGAGCTGCCCCCACATGACACAACCCATTGATACTGGGGAGAAATCTTCTTTCTACTGCTTGGGTAGCAGTTGTTTTTTTGTGGGTTGCACAATCACCTTTCAGCCTCATTGGGGAGAATGATGAGGACCCACACATGCTTCCCAGTTCATACATCATGACCCCTGTAGCTACGTGTCTGCTGGTGATTGAGGGTCTTCTAGATGTAGGTGGGTGAAATGAGGCTTCCAGAGGCTGCCTTTCCTCCTCTGAGCAGGCATCCAAACCACAGTGAGTGCACAGCAGGCAGTTAGTTATGTACTGAGCACAGACTTGGATGCATTTTCCATGTCCTGCCACCTCTGTCATGTCTGAAAGCAACTTTACTTGTTCTCTTTGGTCTGAGAACAAAGGGAGGATCCTGAAGCCAAGCCTAGCCCAGTAAGTGGGAAAGGGCTGACACTACAGACCTGCAGGAGAGGCTGGTAATAGGTAACGCCTGCACAGAGCTCTGCGTTTGCAATGAGGCTGCCCAGGCTTTTATGAAACTTCATGGTCCCTGCTACAGAGCAGAACTGAGACCAGGCCTCTGGAACAGCTCTGCAAGGTCAGTGCTCTTGGCAACCACATCCTGCTCCAATGTTACCTTGTACAGATCAAAGGAATCTTCTACAGTGTCGTGTTTGCTGCAGATCATGACACGCAATCCTGTAACCTGAGCTCACAGCCAGCACTGCAGCCTCTGCTCCATGGTCCCCAGGGCCATGCTGACCACAGCTGATGGGTCCCTTCCCATGCTGTGTTGGTTCCAGGCAGCAGTTGGACCTTCAGTCCCTCTGGCTTTGTGCCCAGCTCTGCAGGCTGCTGGGTGTCATGCTGTTGATACGGGTTTGGTACCTGCAGGATGCTGTGTCCCAGCATCACTGACCCCTTTGCTCTCTGCTGTGAAGCTGCAGGAAAAGGAGAGGAACAAAGGAGGGCAGAAGAAGTCCCTGACCTCACTGCAGCAGCTGGAGGAGGAAGGCTTTTCTGAGCAGTCAGGTGCAGGTGTCAACAAGGTCAAGACCGTCCAGGTATGTTGAATTATGTGACTCTCAGGAGCCCATGGGGACACACAGGGGGACAGGTAGCCCAAGAGTCAGCCCACAGGGCCTGGCTACAGAGGAGTGTTTGGTGGTGCTGCATGAGAAGGCAGTTCTCAGGGAGCTTACAGTCACTACAAAGGAATACCAACTATTTTCTGGCAGCCCATCAGGCAACTGAGCAAGGTTGAATCAGAGAGAGGTTTTATCTCCACCCTATAAATGATCTTGAACATTCAGCAGCCTGGTCACCCCTCAGACCCATCTGGCTTCTTCCCCAGTATGGGGAAGATGGAAATAAAACGAGGTCTGTCTTTGCCAGGCAGTGAATACCAGCCAACTGCAAGGCAGGAATTTTGCAGCTCAGCTTCAGCTCTGGGTTTCACTTGTCACTTTTTCACCCAGCTCCAGATTAGCTGCCTGGTGTCACCTCCAATCTCACAGTCCTTTGCACTAAGCAAGACCTTATTTACCAATTTGGGCCCTTACAGCTGCAAACCTCCCCCCCCAAGTCTGTATACAGAGCAGAAAATTTCCAGTATTTAAGGACTGAAGTGCCAGCCTAAGCCCTCAAAGGTACACTTACCTGGTTAGCCAAGCCTGAAAATTGTGGTTTTCCACTTGAATACAGGGAACTTTGCCCTGCCCATTGTCTCTGCCAGCAAAAGGAATGTGAAGTTCCACCCCAAACCACGGGAGAGACTGAGCAGGATGAATTTGGCCAAGACAGGTTAATGTGCAACTGCTCTCACAATGTGGTGCACCAACAATCAATAATAAGATTGAAACAGCAAGGATTCCCAGTTCAAAGCATTAAATAACTGGCACATCTCAGGGTCTAACACACCCCCCACACTGCAACCAGCAGCTCTCCTGTGCCTCCAGCCATGATCAGAATAACTCTGCTTGCTTTGGGTATATCTGAGCCACAGCTGGCTCCAAGTCAGTCAAAGTCTGAAGGCAGGATAGTGTCTCATCCTCAGCCTTCGCTAAGGCAGGGTGCTTCACCAGCCTCAGCAAAGCTGATGGCTTGAAGGTTCAAGGTGTGAGGCAGTGGAGGATTTATAAGGCTCAGAAATTATTTTCTTCTTTACAGTCTCTGTTGCCAGGAGGTGCCTTTATCTGTGTTTCTGAGTCAGCCTGTAGGTGATCCAGTGCAGGAAAACTTTGGCACTCTGAGCAGCACAAGATTGTGTTGACTTGAAAATGTTGCTTTTCCTCATATGAGGAGCATCCTCTTCCCTTCAAACCAGCCCTAGAGCCTCTGCTGACTTGAGCAAAGTGGGGTTCAAAGCAGCCCAGCCTGCCTCCCTGTGCTTCCCTCAGTTTTCCTTCTGACTTTTCTGGCTTCCTCCCCAGGTAGCTGCTCCTGTCACAGCTGGGCTGTGGCTCACCCCAAGGCAGCTGGAAAAATACCAAGACGTCCTGGAGAAACTGCTAGCAGAGATGTTACAAGACACCCCAGACGGTACTGTCAGGAGGTTGATTTCTGCCTTGGGAATTCTGCCTTTCCCTCCCCTCACCAGCTCATCATCACAGAGATATTTATATTCCTCAGAAGGGCTTTTGTGTCATGTTTGCTCACTTTAGAGTCCTCCGATACCCCACCCGTTCTCATGTACACGTTCTTCTGGGAAGGTTATTCCCTCTCGCAGGGCGCTGCGGGTGCCCTGGAGCTGATATCAGTTTGCAGCACTGCAACGCTTCCCAGCAGCTCTCCGTGGCGCTGCTTCCCACTTCTCTCCTCCTCCCCCCCCCAAAAAAAATGTCCTCAGTCTTCAGGGTGCAATTTCCAACAGAGCTTGTAACACAAGCTACACCTGAAGGCAGCTCAGCACCGGCAGTCAGAGCTGAACCCCTTGCTCCCTGCGCTCACAGTTGCAGTTAGAATGAGCTGCACTTCCAGGTGTTCAGTGCTGCCCAGTCCAGCCCTGGGCTTTGCCCTTCGTGTAAGGGAATTGCTACAGGAATTATCCCGAGGAAGCCTGTGATGCAGCTATTCCTACCTTCAGACTCCAGGAGTCGTAGAACGGGTCTTTGGACCTTTGTCTTATCTGTCCCAAACAAGAAGGTCCCCTCTGTCTCAGGAGGAGGTGTTTGGCTGTGATTATTTCACTTTGCTTTGAAGCTGGGTACCTGAGGAGGAAACAATTGATAAAGCCTAGGAAAGGCTGAATGACAAATTTAAGGACACTTGTTCTCTCCCCTCTTTTCTTTTTAGCTGCCTGATACCTGCAGAATCCAGAGAGAAAGCAAAGTAGCTCACTGGGGCTAAAAGGCTCCACTTATGTAAACGAAATCTGTAGAAGAGATTAACAACAAAACCTGAGGTGAGATAATAAAATGTGCAGTATAATTAAATAGAGGATTGGTGCCTTCTTTTCTGCATGCCTCTCAGCCAGATGGCAAGTGTGGGAAAGAAGAGAGGGAGGGTTTCCAGTTCTAGAGAACGTCCCTGTCCTTCTGAGAAGTGCCAAGTGTGTTGCAAAGCCTGAGGAATCAGTCTTTGTGGACTGGTAAGTTTTAGCACTTCCTTATGGCAGTAAGGGAAACTGAGGCAAATGTTTACTGGGTCTCCTTGTCAAACTGGTGACATAAATGAAGGATGAGGAGTGTCTTACCTGTGCTTTTATCCCCTCTTACTCACCCTGGTGATATAAATCTGGTAATTAAGATGTATTGTGAGGAGCACCTCTCCCATAGCTGTGGTGAGAAGAGGCACAGTGTGTGTGAAACAAGGCAGAGCTCTGGCCTGATTTCTGCCTCTCAAACCTAGAGGTGAAATCGTGATTCCACTTGAACATCCTGCTCTCCATTTGCATGCCTTTGGAGCTGCTCCTCTAGGTTGGCAGCAGGAAACCCAACATATGTAAAGTTAGAACGGATGAGATCAATGGTATGAATGTGAATATATCCAAATTCAATCCAATTTTATCCTCCTAAACTAACACAAATGCTGTCCCCACTGTGGCTCATTTAAATAGCTGTGTTTGTGCTAGAGCAACACTCCTTGGTACACTCTCTGCTGCAAACCATCTCTTACGAGAAAAGAAATCTCCCAATGTATAATGCAACATCCAGCATGGAGTGGATTCCAGCTTTAACATTCAATTCAAAGGCACATTTCTAGTCCATGGACTGATCAGCTCAGTGTAACTCTCAGTTTGCAGGGATTATTGCTGAGGCAGGTTTAGCTATGGAATCACTATAAATGAGCCTGAGCGGTTGGAAGATAGAAAATAATACATTCCATTAGGCTGCAAGTGAAAAAAAATTGCCTGTACTGCTGGGTTAGGAGCTCAGCTAGTGAGAATCAGCCTGCAGTGGAGTGGTGTCTATGGGAGATCCAGCATGGAAATCAGCAGAGGAGCTGCACCACATTTACACTGGTGTCCATCAGAGACGAGGCTGTTTGCTTCAAAGGGGAAGCTGTCAACTCATTCCTTCTGAAAGAACCAAACCTTCACCCCAGGTTTAATTTGTGGGAAAACAAGGAGAGTGTTTGCCTTGAGGGGCAAACTGTTCCTAAAAGCCCTCCATAACTTTCATTGTGGGTCAGAGCTGTGTCTGTAGCATCCCTTCTTGTCCAAATGTCTCTCAAATTGTCTCCCAGGCTGACAGCTCCCCCGTGCCATCTAGGAAGGAAGCAGGTAAGAAGACCTTGCTACTCCAGAAACTAAACGAGAGTTTAGTGCAGGACGAGCAGCTGAACAGTTGGGAGAAAGAAGCAGGGAAAGGAGGACAGAAAAGAATTAAATCAGCACTGCCTTTCTAACCTAATAAGAAGCTTGGTGGGCTGAGGACATGACATACGATCGGGAGGATGAGAAGCAGTGTTCTTGGGTCACACCTGTGCTGTGGCTGTGAGTGACAGGGTGTTAAATTGGCACAGGCAGCTCCCAAGGAAGCTCTGACACTTCCCCTGATGACATATGCAGGACTGTTGTCCAAATGCCATGGGATAAACAGAGGAGGTGGGATGGTGAGGGGGGGGGTGCAGCAGCCCCTCAGCCAGAGGTGGAAGGGTGCATCCGCTGCCCGTGCTTTTTGGGGTGCAGCATGCTCCCCTCTTCAGGTGCCTTGTGAAGATGGTGCAGATCTATTTCTGTCCCTCTGCTTGCACCAGTCCTGCCTTGATGCTTCATGAGGCGGAGCAGACGGCACAGCACGCCCGCT